CAAATATACTTTTTCTACGAAATATTTATTAGATTTGCTCAATGTGATTTACGCGTGACATCCGATCGTCTTCTTCTCTTCAGATATCTCCCCGAAACGAAAGGCCGTACGACTGAGGAGATCATAGCTATGCTGCAGAACTGATGGAAGTTGTGAGATGTTACTGTTGTATTCATTGGGAATAGGTTGTTCACTCGTGAATGAATATTCGTAACTTCTGCAATGATTACTACAGCGGCATCTTCAGATGTCCCTAATAATCGCTCACTCACGGAAGTCATATTGATGAAAATCGGATAAAGAATTTACAAGATCTCGACTCAATGTGAAAAAAAGAAGAGTACGCCGAAACGTAGTCGCACTTAATATCCTCGTTTTTGCACTTTATACTGAGTCAGGGCTCGCCATCGCTGTGATAATCACAACGGGGGGGGGTCATATTCTGCAGGAATTTATCGCAACGCGATGGCGTGCTCCGGTCAGGAGAGGCTAATGAGCACGCCCCACGCCACCGACAGCCTTCTCTATCAATTGTGATCGGTTAGCGACCGATCTGGGAAGGAAACAGTCACAGGTGAAAGGCCAGGTGGGTCCACTCTATGCCTCCTGACACCGTTCCGATTGACTGCGAAGATATCACTCAAAGAAAGTTCTGCCAATAAGGTCATGAATACGAGTTTCATCAGCTGTTCCACATATTGAACAACAGATGTACCTACGGTGGCAGAGCGAAAATCCCTTCTTATGGCGCGCACTATCAGGGTTCACGTCTTGGAGGGTGGGAAGTTCCTATGTTCGTACATAGAGTGAACCGCTCATCACTGCTCTCACCGTCGTGACCAGGAACCATCCATCATCACTATCGAGCTCAAGGACCACACTGTGTCAGCCTGAACCGCCTGCGCTACTTCCGTTGAGGGGAATTCTCGGAGAATGCGACCCCCTTTCTTCTGGTAGAACCTTCCCATACTTCCGTCCTACCCATTTGACCTACCATATTACTGAGTTCACCCAACGTGCACTACTCCACATGCTTCATAGCCGGTTTTTCTCACGATCAGAGGCTGAGCCCGCGTTCAGAATATGATGAGTTATGCGGCTCAGATAATAATACCAAGGTAGCAAATGATCCAGCAGTGAAGAAAAAAAAAGCAGAAAAAACCGCCGGAAAAGTCCCATTTAGAACTCCATCCGAACTGAGGTTGTACGTGCATAAGGCGAAAAGAGGCCGTGGTCGCACGAGTTCTCACTTGTTGGTATCAGCTGTTTTCCCTTATCACCTCACCATTCGAAGTGGAGAGAGTTAGTAGCAGAACAACCGCACCATCAGGCAACCATTAGAAATGAATGGTGGGCGGTGCCAATGATAGGGGGTTGGGCCAATGATAAGAACGACGGTATCGTGGGCCTCCTCACTTTTTTGCGCCCTTTGCGAGCCTGGCTGCTCATGAAGGGAGAGGGAAATTCCGACTGGACGCAGCCACTGCCTTTAAAACCCTATTAACGGACACCGATATCACGGCAAATCATCGCGCTCTGGAAATACAGGGAGGGGGGAAGTCACTTTCCTTCATTGACTTTCGAGGCGCTATAAGTTACACTTTATTAAATTCTGATCGGACATTTTTACCACCATATTAAAGAGCATATTAAATACTACACACTCCGCCACAGCCTTCTGGACGAGCGCCATCGAGAGATTCTGGCACGCGACCGCGATGTGGTGCCTGAGATCAGCGAGATAGTCGATTTCTCCGCCACCGTAGACCACCCTCCGCCCGAACCGGGTAATTGAGGGGATTCAGGTCAGGTGACCTACTTGGATATTCCATCTTCTTTAGGTACTCAGCCCCCTTCCATTCCAAGTAGGCGAGAGTTTCTCCAATGCCCTTCGATTCCATGTGGTGGCACCCAATGCTGTAGCAGTACAAAGTTTCCAAGAAGGTACGGGTGTGAGGAGGATATTCTTCACGAGTTGCTCGATGTAACCGCCAGCGCTCACCTTCAGTCCGGGGTCCACGAAGATTGGTCTTTCCATTCCAGGTACGTCCGGTCCATACCATCAACCCGCGCCTTGGCGACTGTGGTGAAGATGATGTCCTAGACCGTGGCGACGTTGTCGGAGCTGCTCGATGTTGGAGGTCATCCAGATCGAGAGTACTGGTCTCCAGGTAGCTATCCATGGGTGACTCCATACTAGAAGTTTCGCAGCTGTTTGGAGGTGACATGAATTCCAAAGGTCTTCTCCAGTCAGGCTGCGACTGGAGATGACTTCATGGTGTACATGAAGGTGATGGGCGAGAGCCAGCTCCTGCTTATAGAGGAACATCTTGGGTATCTTCCGCCCTGGTACTCGTATCCACGTCCTCTGTCTGGGCAGCGAAAACTTTGCTGATATGACTCGGTCGAAGTGACTTTTTTTTGGCCCCCCTGTATGTTGCTGAAACTTGCCCTCCAAGAGACCAAACACAACGCCGTTGTGTTCTACCCGGCGATGATTTGCCCTGACCGTGCTCCCGAGTGGCGGCCCGACTACCTCTGAAGAGGGGAGGGTACCCCGAAGTTCATAAACATACCTCGCAAGCTTCTGTGATGCTCTCCAAGATGTTTTCTTTTCGGCGCCTTCCTCCTCCCTCCCCCCCCCCCTTCGCTGTAGAATAGAAGAAACCACTGGAATCTGCCTTATAAACAACCATACAATTAAAATGTGTTACTTTATTGAAAATGCATAACATAAAAACAAGTTACAAATGTACACGGTACCACGTGATAAAGAGGCGACTGAAATCGGAGTGTGTAAATTATGCAGAATATTAGAGTGCTTTCGATGATCCGCGCCTACTGCTTCAGTTACGCTTTTGAACCCGTCTCTTCTCAACAGCTCCACCAACTCTCTTTTTACCTAAATATTGAAGTAAACAAATAACATCAGAAGCTTTAGATTTTTGTAGGTGTGCCAACACGAGTCACTCAATATAGAGTGCGGAGTCAGGGTGCAACGTGGGATTGAGTGGAATGGCAATGTCAACACCACCTTCCGCTACATCCCCCCCCCACCCTCCGACGAGGGCCTCGGTGGTGACCTCACTAGCGCTTCAAATTCAATTTACCGCAACCGTCTAGGTTCACGTCTATTGCAAACGTCTACTACGAATTATTTTTCGGATATCCCTTCTTAGAACGACCGCAAGTTCCAATGTAAAAAGTTAGGGTCGTTCAAAGGAGACTAACAGAAGCCGTGAAATTGCGAAATGAAAAACAGCATTAGTAAGTGATGGGTTGGCTTGTAATTGCTCTAAAAAATCTTCGAACCTTCCCTAGTTCGAAAAATTATCTTTAGAGGATTTTCGACGGGCG